TCAAAATTTGAAAAATTGTAATTTATTTAACTTTAGAGTACTTTTGTGATATGAGACTGCCAAATTAATACTTTGCATACATTTCTTTTCCCAAAGGACTTGCAAATTTACAAAGAAGTGTTGCGGATAACCCATGCATTGACAGATAATGTTTGCAAAAAACATATCTGATGAAGGACAATATTTTTAATATATACAAAGAGTACTTAAAACTCAACAGTAAGAAAATAACCTGATTTAAAGCAGGCCAATGACCTGAACGTCTGTTCACCAAAAAAGATACACAGATGCAAGTATTCACATGAAAAGATGCTTGACATGGTGTCGTTAGGGAATTGCAAATTAAAACAGCAAGTAGATACCACTACACACCTAGTAGAATGACCAAAATTTAGAACATTGTTAGCACCAAATGTTGGCAAAGATATGGAGCAATAGGAACTTGTTCATTACTAGTGAGAATGCAAAATGTGCAGTCCCTTTGGAAGACAGTTTGGTGGTTTCTTACAAGAGTAACCATACCTTTACCATAAGATCCACCAATCATGCTCCTTAGTATTTATCCAAAAAAGTTGAAAACTTATCTCCACACAAAAACCTGCACACAGATGTTTATATCAGTTTTATTCATAATTTATCCAAAACTTGGAAACAAGACGTCTTTCAGTAGAGTGGATGACTGTGGTACATCTGAATAATGGAATGTTATTTCGCTTTAAAAATAAATGCATTCATTTTGGGAGACAGAGGCGAGTGGATTGCTTGAGGCCAGGAGTTTGAGACTAGCCAAGTCAAAATGGGGAATCCCCAAGTAGCCAGGCATCGTGGTGTGCAAGTGTAATCCCAGGTACACGGTGGAAGCTGAGACACGAGAATTGTTGAACCTGCGAGGAGGAGGTTGCAGTGAGCCGGCGCCACTGCACTTCAGCCTGGCCAGCAGAGCAGGACTCCTCTGTCTCAAAAAAAGAAAAGAAAAAGAAAGAAAGAAAATGATCAAGCCATGAGATGACATGAAGGATCCTTAAATGCCTGTTACTAACAGCCAACCTGAAAAGACTACATACTGTATGATTCCAATTGATGCAGGGCAAGCAGGCCAAAAACCAGGGCTTAGCCCAGTAAAGAATCCAAGGGTGCTGTTAGCAACTTTTATAGAAGCGGCAGTGTACAGCCGCAGCACAGGTACTGTTCCTTGCTTAGCAGGGCTAACCCACAAGTAGTGTATCTAGAGTAGGAGCTCAGGGGCCGTTCTGCAATCATATACCTACTTTTAATTACAGGCCCGTTAAGGGGGATTATGCAGGACTTTCTAGAAAAAGCGTTGTAACTTCGGAGTAAGTGCAGAGGAAAGGGGTCGGTAATGTCCCGTTGCTGCCATGGCAACGAAAAACTGACTCGGCTCTGGTGGGCGTGTCTTATGGAGAGGTGCTTTAATCGCGTCCCTGTTTCAGCTAGTCTTCAATCTGGTCCGGAGTAAAGTCCCTGCCTCCTAGTTCACTCCTGTTTCCTACCTCAGAATTATATGAGGATCTGGAAAAGGCAGCATATATGGACACAACCAAAAGATTCGCACTTGTTAGAAATTGGGTGGCAGGGAGAGTTGAAAAGGTAGAGCACAGAGGATTTTTGGGACAGTGAAACTTCTGTGATACTATAATGGATACATGACACTATACATTTGTCAAAACCCATAGAATGCACAACACTAAGAATAAATGCTAATGTAAATTATAGACTTTCGTTGATAATGACGTGTCAATGTAAGCTTAATTGTAATAAATGTATCACTGTGGTGCTGGATGTCTATAATGGGGGACTATTTTTGCTTCAGTAGTTACAGTTGAACCAAATGTTTGTGTTTCCCACAATTCATATGTTGAAACTCACTCTCGATGTGATGGTCTTTGGAGGCGGGGTCTTTGGTAGATAATTAGGTTTAGATGAGATTCTAGTAGACGGAGTCTTCATGACAGGCATGATGGGACTGGTCCCTTATAAGAAAAGACCAGAGAGCTAGCTCTGTCTTTGGCATGTGAGGACACAGCGGGAAGGTAGCCATCTGCAAGCTAGAAAAGGGCCTTCACAAAGAATCCAAGCTAAGATCTGGATTGTTTCAGCAGCCCAAGCTAAGACTATTAATTAGATTCGAAATTTCCTTTTTGGGATGGTGTGTTGGGGGAGTACCTTTGTCAAGTTTTTATATTAATGAGTTTGTAGGCTTTTCTTTTTTGGTCATTGACTAGAACAGTTTAAATAGTATCTGAGTGTGAAGGAGATTGTTGCTCATCCATTCAAAGTCCATTCTGTTTTTTAATATGAGGACTCCTGATTTTCAGCCAACTACCCTGGAAAAGCAGCTAATATTTCTGACTTCTTAGGTGTGGCCATGGGCTAAATTCTGGCAAATGCAAGGCAAGCCAAAGGTTGCATGATAGGATTTAGGACACTAGAGTAAAACAGAGCTGTTGCACACATGCCCTTTACCCTACTTTTGTATCCTTTTTTCCATCCTACAACTTGGGTTATGAGTGTGAACTTTAGTGGCTCTCGTGGATCCCAGGGGTAATTGAGGGAATTTGGTGATTTCCTGGAGTTTCCACATACCAACAAGACCTGGATTTTCTGGGTTTCCCAGACTTCCACATCTAGACTTGCTTTACATGGGAGAGAAATCAACTTGTTTCAGCCACTGTCATTTTGGGCTTCGTATTGTATAGAACTTAATATAATCTTTAAGGATACATGAATTGCTTTTCCTTAAAAAAAATAGCCATAAAACCATCTAATTTTTTTCCCCACATTATTTAGTTGGAGCTCGGTAACTTTTTTTGCTTTTTTGAGACAAGGTCTTGCTGTCACTTAGGCTGGAGATCAGTGGCATGACCATGCCTCACTGCAGCCTTGATCTCCTAGGCTCAAGCAATCCTCTTGCCTCAGCCTCCTGAGTAGCTGAAACTAAGGCACATCTCACCATGCCCAGCTATTTTTTTTTTCCAGAGATAGGGGTCTCAGTATGTTGCCCAGGCTAGTCTCAAACTCCTAGCTTCAAATGATCCTGCCATCTCAGCCTCCCAAAGTGCCAGGATTACAGGTGTGAGCCACCATGCCTGGCCACTCTGTAAATTTCTGAATTTCATTTTGTATATGTCAGTATGTTTAGATTTTCTTTCCCTTCTTGGGTCAGTTAGGTCATTTGTTTCTTTTTAAAAAGTATTTTAATCAAGGCTTTCAAATTTATTTGCATCCAATACTTCAAATTAATCTTTAAAATAATTATTCTAGTATATATTATTTTGTTCCTACTTTTTCCTGTATTCTTTAATCATCAGAATAGCTAATGATTTATCTAATTTAATAGGATTTTCCCTTATAGGGAGTAGTAAGACTTATGTTCTTTCCATAACTTTCCTGCACCCCAATTAATCTCAAATTTTATCTTTATTCTGGACTTCCTTATGGTTTCCAAAGGTTTATTCATTTTTTAAAACATCCATTTAATTAAATGTTTATTTTGTTATTATTCTTTCTTATTCAGCAACCTAACTGCTTAGGGATATAGAATTTCCTCTGAGCAGCATATGCTAGGCTTTGCCAATGTTAGGGAGGCCTCTCCTTTTTGGGGAAGACAACACTTGGATAACACAGGACTGTGGGAAGAGGTAGAGAAGAGTTTAGGAATATCCAGATTACCTCTTTACTGATCCTAAACATAGGTGGGGTTCCTTGGTTATCCACTGGGTCCTATTCCCCAGGTCTGAGTCAGCATACTCAGACTACCAGGATAAAGAACAAATAATACAGGAGATAATCCTGCTGTTGGGGAGAAAAATCTTTTTTCTCTACTCGTTTTAGGTTCTCCATCTGCGGCCCTATAAGCTAGACTAACAAAAGACAGATGAGAAAGAAACAAAGAGAAGTTTATTAACACATGCATTGCACAACACTGGGCAGTTGTGACATTAATAATTCAAAGGAGGATTTAGAACTTGGGTTTACACAGCATTAACGAAAGAATATATTTTTTAAGTGACAAGGAAAAGGACTTTGAGTTTCTCACACAGTAAATTGTTGAAAGGCAATTTTAATTTTAGTATGATTTCTCTGGTGCTATCTCCAGGCTGATAGGAGTCTAAAGTCTCTGATGATTCACTTTTGTTCTTCCCAGGATAAAAGGACGCCTTGACAAATTTTTATCTTGCTTTTAGGCAAATAGGGAGAGGGCAGCGGTAGTTTTTCCTTTTTTTCTTTTTTAATCTATTTTTTTCTCAATTGTCTTCAGCTCAAAATACCTGTTATGCCAAAGGTGGCGTATTCTGCTACCCTTCACTTGCTAGTTATGACCCAGCCTATACCAACATAACTAGAACTACTGACTTGAAGGAGCATGAGCAATAGTCTGGCCTCTTTTATGTCTTCCCTTAGGCAGAGGTGGAGGCCCAACCATGCCTCTGACATCCAGACACAGCTCTTGCTTCATTTCTCCTATTCTCACAGATGATGTCAGAGGACCTCAACAAACATCAGTAAACATCAATTTTTTTTTTTTCTTCTTTTTTAGAGACAGAGCATAATCTTGGCCTACGACAACCGCCACCTCTCTGGCCCAAGCAATTCTCCTGCCTCAGCCTCCCAAATAGCTGGGATTACAGGCACCTGCCACCATGCCAGGTTAAATTTCTGTATTTTTTTTTTAGTAGAGACAGGATTTCACTGTGTTGGCCAGGCTGGTCTCAAACTCCTGACCTCAAATGATCTGCCTGCTTCAGCCTCCCAAAGTGCCAGGATTACAGGCATGAGCCACCACACCCGGCCATCAATTTTTATATCAACTCTAAATTATAACATTTAGCAATTTTGTGACTTTTTATGGTCATCATTAACGTTGTTTATGTTTTAGTTGTAATCCTGTCATTACCGACTCAGGTATGGTAATTTCGTCTTTTTCAAAATGAAGTTAAGTCTATTTGATCTTCTCTGAATCATAGGACTGCTAACGACCATTTCAGCAATAACTATTTACTTAGATTCAAAGATATTTCAAGGTAACTGGTCCTAGCAGACTGAAAAATACCAACTTCTTTTCCAGAACTGAATACCCTACCAAAGTTTGATTTTACTCATAATTCCCTGTTCATTTGAAGCATCTCATTGTAGGCTAGTCTTAACCCTTCTCTCACACTTTGCTTGGCTGTTTCTCAGGCAGATCTCTGAAAGTCTGGTAGCCTCCAGAACTGCTGCTCAGATTATTAAACAACCTGTCAGTGGTTGGAAGTGTCAATACTATTTTGATTTTCCACCTTTTTGTTTTAATACAGTTGGCAGACAATTGCAGCTTTCTTTCATCACCCATGAGTTCAAATAGCAAACAAACTAGGAGAACACAGACATTCTGACTTGTGGGTCTCCTCACTCACCTGAAGACCTTGGAAATCAGAGCCCTGATCCATTAAAGACAGATGGAGCAATGTATGATCATAGCCATTACCTTGCTTTGCCCCAGTGCAGGTCAACCAACTGTGCTATTTTTAGTTTCTAAGTCCATTTATACAGCATAAATTCATTACATATCCACTAAAATCCCAGCACTATTCTGAGTACTAAGGAAATGGCAGTGAAGAAAACAGACCAAATTTCTGCCCTTATGTGATTTACATTATTTTCTTTGGGCTGGTTAAATGAAAGAGCCTCTGTTTTTCTCCTTAATCATCTAGGGGAGGCAGAAACAAAGGAGAATAATGGTAAACCTGGAAATAGGGCCGGAGAATATCAGAGAAGGAAGCCTTTGGGAAGGTAAAGATGTGGCAGCCAGTAGTCCCATTGTAAAAGGATACGACTCCAGCCTCACAGTCCAGAAACACTCCCACAACCAGGGGCTGCTCATGCAGATGAAGGGAAGTTGGGGGAGAAGTAAGTGCTACATAACCTTTGTTTTTGCACAGCCTTAGGGTCCAGAATCCAAACTGAGGCTCTTGCTTCATGCCAGTGCCCCTCTGCACATTTTCCATACAAACGCCTAAATCCCACCCAGTTCCTTCTCCAACATCCACTTCAAAGTAGCATCTTCCTGAGGTGAAGCCTTCACAACCCAAGACACAGGGCAAGGCGCTGAATCTCCGAGAGGAAGTGTCCTGATTCTGCTGGAGGTACCCTCGAGTCACCTGTCTCCGATCTTCAGACAGAATTAGTTCATGATGAGCTGTATCTGGATCCAGAGTCACACTGACTGCAGAAACAAACACACACTTTCGTTGGTGCAAAGAACATATTTTATTTATTTATTTATTGAGACTCAGTCTTATTCTATCTTGGCTTACTGCAACCTCCACCTCCCGGGTTCAGGCAATTCTCCCGCCTCAGTCTTCTGAGTAGTTGAGATGATAGGTGTGCACCACCACAACTGGCTAATTTTTATATTTTTAGTAGGGATGGGGTTTCACCATGTTGGCCAGGCTGGTCTTGAACTCCTGACCTCAGGTGATCCACCCACTTTGGCCTCCCAAAGTGCTGGGATTACAAAGGTGTGAGCAATCGTGCCCAGCCACAAGTTACTTTCAATAAAACTAGCCTGTGTTCAAACCCAAATATTGTTTCATATAAACCATGTGAGCTTAGGCAAGTCATTTAACTCTCTGAGCCTCAGTTTTGTTAACTATAAAGTGGAAATTATCATATTTGTTGCAAAGAAATGTGGGTAGGATTGAATATGCTATGTTTAGCTAATGCGAGGCAAAATTCCTGATACATGGTAAGCACCTAATAAGCGGTAGTGATAATAATATCATCAACATCATCTTTGACTTAGTTATTCAGGGATGTCAAGGTACAGAACTAACCAGTTAATATGGTTACCATCCTGTCCAAAGTTCCTCTCCCATGCAAGACTTCCAGGAATCATGAAACAGTTGAGCATAAACATAGCTTTTCCCTTCTCTACTGAATAACCACCAACATTGAGAATCAGGGAAGGAAAATGACTCAGCTAATGTCTTAGCTTGTTATTGGAAGACCCAGGTTGTGTGACACATGCCTAGTTCCATGACTTTTAATTATAAGCTCTTCTCTTTCCCCTCAGATAATGTTCCATAGAGATTAGCATGAGATGACAATACACTGAGGATCAATATACATGAAAAGTATCAGACTGGAATCAAACAAGACAGAAAAAAAAATCCGATAACCTAAAGTGAGATACTGGATGGTATGTAGTTTTAAAAATAAATAATGGTAATAGGATGTTCTAACCAGAAAGTTAAGAAACCACTGTACTGCTGGCTTAAACACTGATCAGCTGGTCTATGACAATAAAGAAATTCAGGCACTCAGAAATACTTCCGGTGCTGGACGTTATTTGTTCTTCCAAATTATTCCCTCACCTTTCTGTCTTACTCTGTGCCCAGGAAGGCTGATCCCTGTGGTCACTTTCTGTCCTCTGGCTTCTGCTTGGTTCAGCCAATGGGAAGCACCAAAGGAGACCATAGGGCACAAAGACGCAACCTGGGAGCACTCAGTACCCCAGTCCCTCACCACCGGCTATGATTTGGAGGGTCTACATTCCTCTGCCTCTGGGTACACTCTCTTATAGTTATAGCTCCCTACACCTGCCACTTGAGGCCCAGAAGAGGTGATGGCTAAGTGTTCCTACTTCTGGATGATTCCCTGTTCCTTGTGGATTTCCCAAATCCTCACCTTTGTAAACACCCTCTTTTTCAGACTCTATTCAGTCAGCTGTTATCCACCTAACTCACAGAAATTTGGGGTTTCATTCATGCTACCTGAATGACCCAGGAAATCCCATGTTGAGAAATTAAAATGTTTATAGGGTAGTAATACCACTTGAGAGAAAATATCAACTGGATTTCTAAAATTCCACCTATCTATTGCAGTGACACATAAACAAAAACATATAGAAAGACTGAAAGTTAAAAGATAGATGATATAATCATATAGCTATAGTAGTATTATATCAAAAGATATTAAGTCAGAGCATTATTAAGAACGAAAAGAGGAACGTGGTGGCTCATGCCTGTAATCCAAGCATTTTGGGAGGTCAAGGCAGGCAGATCACTCGAAACCAATAGTTCAAGATCAGACTGATCCACATGGTGAAACCCTGTCTCTACTAAAAATACAACAGTTAGCTGGGCATTGTGGCACATGCCTGTAATCCCGGCTACTTGGGAGGCTGAGGCACAAGAATCGCTTGAACTGGGGAGGTGGATGTTGCAGTGAGCTGAGATTTTGCCTCTGTACTCCTGCACCCCAGCCTGGGCGATAGAGCAAGACGGCCAAAAAAAAAAAAAAGACAGAATGGCCGAAGGCGGTGGCTCGTGCCTGTAGTCCCAGCTATTTGGGAGGCTGAGGCTGGAGGGTTGCTTGAGCCCAGGAGTTCTGGGCTGTAGTACGCTATGCCCATCGGGTGTCCGCACTAAGTCCGGCATCAATACGGTGACCTCCCGGGAGCGGGGGACCACCAGGTTGCCTAAAGAGGGTGAACCAGCCTAGGTCGGAAACGGAGCAGGTCAGACTTCCGTGATGATCAGTAGTGGGATCGCGCTAGTGAATAGCCACTGCACTCCAGCCTGGGCAACATAGTGAGACCCTGTCTCTTTAAAAAAAAAAAAAAAAAGAGTCTAGAAAAAGGACAGAGTGAAGAGAGACACCTAAAGAAAGATGAAACGTAAAATGTACAGTTCACTAGGAAGATTAATAATATAGTGCATTCATGTTTATAATTGTTAATATACAAAGCAAAAATTACAGAATTACAGGAGAAATTGACAAGTCTACAATCATCATGGGATAGTTTAACATTCTTCTTTCCATAACCGATAGATCAAGCAGACCAAAACAAAAAAATAAGGAAAGACATGGAAGGTCTGAACAATCTAAGAAGCCCTATCTCATAGTCAATACGTACAGCTCAGCAACTGTCTAGTAACGGTAAGCTGAGAATACGCAGTTTTCTCAGGTACAGACGGAACATGTACTGAGTATGTACTAGGCAGAAAACAGTCTGAACAAATTTCTTTTTTTTCTTTTCCTTTTTTATTTAGCCAGAGTTCTTTTGGCTAAAATGTACTTTCTTTTTTGCTGTTTTTTCTTCCTTTTTTTTTTTTTTTTTTTTTTTTTTGAGACGGAGTCTTGCTCTGTAGCCCAGGCTGGAGGGCAGTGGTGTCATCTCAGCTCACTGCAACCTCTGCTTCCCGGGTCCTGGTTCAGGCAATTCTCCTGCCTCAGCCTCCCGAGTGACTGGGATTACAGGCACACACCACCATGCTCAGCTAATTTTTGTATTTTTAGTAGAGACGGGGTTTTAGCACGTTGGCCACGCTGGTCTTGAGCTCCTGACCTCATGATTCACCTGCCTCAGCCTCTCAAATGCTAGGATTACAGGCATGAGCTACCGCACCCCACAACAAATTTTAGTAAACCTGTATTACACAGATTTTCTCTAACCTCAATATAACATTATAAACCAATAGTAAAAAGATGACTAAAAAAATTCTAAATATTAGGAAATGTAAAATACTAATAAATCATAAAATGAAGAAAGGAAGAGTAATAAAATGTTACTTATAAAAATATACAATGAAGCTAAAGCAGAATTTTGAAGAAAATTTGCAGGCTTTAAATGCTAATCATAGAAAAATTTAAAAGCTGAACATTAATGAGTTAAGCATCTAATTTAAATTTTAAAAAGAACATAGAAACCCAAATAAAAATTTTTAAAAGGAAAAACAGGTATTAAATTAGTGAAGTTAAAGAAAATAACAATGCAGTAAAGAGGGAAAAAAAGTAGCTTCTTTAAAAAAAAATAATAAAGTAGATATATCTCTGATGAGCTTTATCAAAGTAAGACAGAAGGCACAAATGGAATGAATACAGAAAATTTTTAAATATTACAGAACTTTATAAATGTATGCTCTAATAAAATTGAAAACACTGACAAAATTAATACTTCTTAGAAAAAGTATTTGAATAAAACTCATTCAAAAAACAAAGAAAGCCTGGGGAGGCCTAACATTAAAGAAGTGAAATCACTGGTTTAAATTCTACTTACTACTGATAGAACATGCATCTTTATTAAGCAAAAATGGACCTCGTCAGTTTTATAGAAAAACTATGATATGCTTCCCTCATACCAGCAAGTCACTCCAAGGTGTAGTAAAACTATGATACGCTTCCCTCATACCAGCAAGTCACTCCAAGGTGTATTACATGTTTGTACAAACTTAGGGAAAGATATAGGTTACCCTACCTACAGAAGTCAGACTGGAAAGGGGTGGGTGAAACCTTGAACTTTCTTTTTATGTCTTCTATATTGTTTGACTAATTAAAATTTATTTGTTGCATTTCTTGAAGGCAATGTGAAATAAACATGAATTTAAAAATAAATTATTTGTATCACTTTTGTAATAAGAGGAATTTTAGGCCGGGTTCAGTGGCTCACACTTGCAATCCTAGCTCTTTGGGAGGCTGAGTTGGGCAGATCACCTGAGGTCAGGAGTTTGAGACCAGCCTGGCCAACATGGTGAAACCCCATCTCTACTAAAAATACAAAAATTAGCCAGGCGTGGTGGTGCACACCTGTAATCCCAGCTACCCAGGAGGCTGAGGCAGGAGAATCGCTGTAACCTGGGAAGGCGAGGCTGCAGTGAGCAGAGATTGTGCCACTACACAGTAGCCTGGGCAACAGAGTGACACTCCATCTCAGAAGAACACTAAAAAAAAGAAAAATTTAATAAACAATGTTTAAGAGGGGAGAAATATTTAGTTAAAAGATAAGCCCATTTAAGAAACAGTTTCACTTGAACCATGTTGTGATTCCTTCTGTAAAAGATGAGACTAGGCACATTAACTCAGTGAAATCCCAGCAAAACCTACATAAAGTCAGGATGAAATACAGAGTGCTTCTGGGTTTTGTTATTGTTTGCTGTTGTGTAGTTGAGGGGAACACAGGTCTATAATTCCTTATCTGAAACCCCTGGAACCAAATGGGCTTTGCCATTCAAATTAGTTTAGAAGTTATAAAAGCCAAAAAATGCATATACTCTAAAGTTCAACCCCATCAGGGCCTAAGGTAGAGTCCTGTAATCAAATTCATCATTATTTCTGCAACAAAACATTTATTCAAATTAAGTGGGATAAACAAAGACTTTTAAATATTCAGTGCAGTTCAGGTTTGGCCACGGTGGAAGACAGACTCCAGGGTGGCCTTCCATGATTCCTGCCTCTTGGTGTTCACACCCTCATAAAATTCCTTCTCTCTGAGTGTGAGCAGGGCCTATGAATTGCTTCTGACCAACAGGATATGGCAAAGACGAGGGGATATAATTTCTATGATTACATTTCATTATGTAAGACTCCATCTTGCTAGCAGATTTGCTCTTAAGAGTCTGTCTCCTGAGCTCTCTTTGAAGAAATAACTGGCCATGTTGGAAGCCCATGTGCAAAGAGCTGCGGGGTGGCCTGTAGAAGCTGAGGGCAACCTCCAGCCAAGACTCAGAAACAACCAGGGCCCAAAGTCCTGCAACCATTAGGAAATAAATTCTGCCTGCTACCTGAGTGAGCTTGGAAGTGGATTCCTCCTTAGCCGAGCCTCCAGATAAGAACACAGCCTGACCAACATCTTAAATGCAGCTCTGTCAGACCCTAAGCAGCTGGCCCAACTAAGCTGTGCCCAGATTCCTGAACTACAAAAGTTGAGATAATATATGGGTGTTGTATTAAGGTGCTAAATTATGGTAAATTGTACTAATAGATAACTAATATAACCACCAAATCATTTCAGGGTAGGCCAGATTTTTGCAGCCAAATGAATTATGATAAAAGTTTACATTTTCAGAGATTTTTGATTTTGTACTTATGGATACAAATTTGTGGAAGGATAGTCAGCACTGATTTAAAAAATTAAGGGAGCAGGAAACTCAGTAAATGGTTCTAATGTTTTGGAATGAGTAAACTGGTTATAACATTTTTCATCTGTTATCTGAGTGAAGTTCCTACAATCATGTGAATGATGGGCTATCATACTCACCAGCTTTCTTGCATTGCTCTAAGAGTTGACTGATACATTAATAATAAACACTATGATCACATCCAATACCATGATGTGGTATTACGATCATGTGTCAGTCACTGTGCTAAGCACCTTGTACATGTTGATGCATTTAATTTTGCTGACAACCCAATGAAGTGGGAGCTGTTAATATTTTTATTTTTCAGATGGGGAAACTGAGTCAGTTGGAGTACTATGGCTAATAAGTGAAAGAATAATAATTTGAAAAGTTTGCGCAGATAACCAGAATGCAATGCTCACTCACCTCTAAGCAGTCAATCAGACTAACCAGGGAGAGTATGAAAGCTCTATTGAAATTAACAACCTCTTTGGCTGTGAGCCTGCCAAGGGACGGGTGGTAAACCTGGTTACTATGTAAGGCCCCTTCCATTCACAGCATTTAGGAATTCTTTAGTGCATATACCTTGATGACTCCTTAACATTTTCTTCACATCAAAGTAAAGCTCAGAAACATTGCACATAGTATGAAGCTCCAAGGAGACGGCCTCTGGTGTTTCCAGCTTCATAGCCCCACTCCTAGAATAAGTAGAGGCAGAGACTTCTTCAGTGCTGCATTTCATTCAGTTCTATATACACACCCCCCTCCCCCCTGCATTCACACAGGACGTACCTGCTCAAAGTGTCATTCACATTCTATGAAGAAACAAAAACAAAAGGTGAGCATGGGAACATCAGTATTTCATGGGGCTTGGCATGCAGGGCTGCTATTCTTTGCTTTTCCCAAAAAAGTAAAGAGAGTTACCCCAGTCTTAGATACTGACGGATACTCAGAATAATTCTCACCAGTCTTAGATATTGATGGATACCCAGATGGAGTAATTCCCACCAGCTTCTGGGAGATTCAGCATGGCAGGATGTTTCTCAACATTTGCATCTATTCTCTTCCTTGCTGAAGCCTGAGGGCCAGGAGCTTTGCCCCTGCTCCCTCTGTCAAGACTTGCTTTTGGTAATTGGATTTCCTTCAGAGTGAGCCCAGATTAGAAATCAATCATCATAAAGGTCCACATCACTCATCTTTTATTCTTTTCCTCGTAGAGAAATGAGGAAACCTGAGATACACCTGCCTCTGTGCTTGACTGACCCAGTGCTTCCCAGGGTGCTACTGAGTATATTGGATGACTGAGAAAAAAGGATTAAAATTGAGTGTTCACACCTCTCTTTTTACCACCCTACAACTGGACCCCCAGTGTGGCAGTGTTGGAAGGTGAGGCCTGGTGGAAGTGTTTGGGTCATAGGGGTGGATCCTTCATAGATAGCTTGGTGCTGTTCTCATGGTAGTGAGTTCTCACTCTCTGGAGAATAGATTAGTTATTGCAGTAATGGATTAGTTCTCTCGAGAGCAAGTGTTCCAGTGCAAGTTTCCTCCTTCTGTTTGGCTCTCTGCACATGTCCACTTCCCCTCTGACCTTCTCTGCCACATTGTGCAGCACAAAAACCCTTACCAGGAGCCAGAGCTATGCTCTTAAGCTTCCCAGTCTGAATAACTATGTGCTAAATAAACCTCTTTTTTTTAAAAAAAAAAAAAGTCCTTAGTGGTGAATCCATGCACAGCCCTGAGACTGGGTCACTATGAAGATGGCAGCAGGTATCACATGGTGGTAAAGCAATCATGCTATATACTCAACCTTATAGTATAGTCACCAATCCTATTAGTTAGAAGCAGAATTAATGACTCCAGATGTTTGTCTTCATATAGACACAGCTATAGACTGTACCATAACAGCTCTGGAGCAAGGGGTCTACAAGCAAATCAGGGAAAACGTTATCACTCATCCTGGCTGCCCCACTTCATCACCCACCCGTCACCTAGAGGATTAGTTCAGGAGAGAGTCTGACGGCCAGGGTTCTGTGCACACAGGCCAAGGAGGCAAAGAGTGGCGAATATTATCCCATGGTTCCATTTGGCCACGCTATGTTAGCTGAGAAGTTTATTTTTCTAATTGACATAAAGGTACACTACAGAGTAGTGAAGGCCAGCCTGATGGCACTGATGTATTTCTAAAAGATGCATTACTTTATCTTCCATGCTTCCTTACCATTCTCCTCTAATGGCACAATAATACACCTTTTTTCCCTATTCCAAGTCCACAGCCTCACCTGCAGCAATTTTTGGGCTGAGCCCTGACATTTTTCCTCCAGTTCCAGGATGTGGCTGTTGAGTTCATCGCTCTTCAGCCGCAGACTGGCCTCATGGTCCCTCAGTCTACTCAGAGTCTGTTGTTCTTCTTTCTCCAGTCTCCAGAGATAACACTTCTCTTCCTCATGTAGGAAACGCTGGAGACTCTTAAAGTCAGACTGGATTTTTTGTCTCTGAATCTGTATCTTCTCCTGGAGTCAAGAAAGTATGGTCAAAAGGTGGAAATAAACCAAATGTCCATCTATGGATAAATGGATAAACAAGGATGAAAGTCTGATACATGCTACTGCACGATAAGCCTTGAAGACATTTAAGCAAAATAAGCCAGAAATAAAAGGGCAGATATTCTAGGACTTTGCTTATTTGAAGTATCTAGAATAGTTAAGTCCAAAGAGACAGAAAGTAAAATAGTAGGTACAAAGTGTTGGCAAAACAGGAGAATGGAGAGTTACTGTTTAATGGGTAGTGGGTTTGAGTTGGAAGATGAAAGATGAAACCCAGTTCCAGTTTGGAGATGGTATGGCGATAGTCGCACAACAACGTAACAGTGTAAAAGTTCTTAATTCTACTGAACCGTATGCTTAAAAGTGGTTAAATGCTTAAGTGTTGTACGCATTTTAACACACACACACACAGTGCAGTCAGTCCCTTGGACTTTATTTTCCCATGAGTCACTGAAGCTGGAAGCATGTCCCCAGGTTCCTGCTGCAGAGTCATGTGTGGGAGGCAGGCACTCACATGTGGGAGAGGCTGTCCCAGATTCCTTACAGTCACTCAATTAATTTCCTTGTTCCTCAGTCAAGGCAGGAAAAAGCTGGGTTAGGAGTGCTAGATAATTTGATTGTGGAACTAGGACCAACTTCAAACACTTTATCAATCACAAAGATAAAAAGAAGTTTTTACTTGGGATTTAAGAAGTTATTTCTGGGTCTGAGGGATTTTCTTGAAGTAAAGGCTTATAATGAACATCACCAACGTTTGATTTTAAGACAATCAGGCTGGTAAGAGGGTCCATAATTCTTGGCAGGGGGAGCTCTGGGTGTGGCAGGCGTTTATTATGGTTAACTGAAAAATATTTATCTACTACCCTAGGCTCATCTTCAGCATTCCTTTGTGTAAGACTGACAAAAATCAAATGAAAGTCTCATCTGAGATGTAAAATTGCAATTTCCATTAGTGCTATCTAAATTAATGCAGTAGGAGTGTGTATTCAGGATAACTTTATGCTATTGGGTTGCAGGCTTCAAACTTGGCCCAAATAAACTCTCTACTTATCTTAAAAAAAATAAAAATTCAAAAATGAAAATAAATTCATCCAGTGTTTTGCTGACTATGATGTAGTAGAAAGGTCTCTGACTTAGTATGAAGTGGAGTTTTTGTGCAGGGGACAGGTACAGCTTTAACTCTTATATAGGTGGGTTTTCATATATGTTAATAACAATCAAGGTCTCCTCTATTGTCCAAGATCCTGGAAATGAGAGAAGTAAGAGTATACTCAGGAGCTCAAGATCAACATCCACAAACAAAGGATCAGAGCAGAGGTTAGAAAGGATCCTTGCAAGAGGGAAAATTAGTCATCAGTTTGTGGGATTTTACTGCAAGCTAGGGAATTACACAAAAGTTGGTGCAAAAGTAATTGTAGTTTTTGCCTTTACTTTGAATGGCAAAAACCACAATTACGCTTGCACAAACCTAAATATTTCCACAAAAGAATGTGGCTCTGATAATGTGGAGGCTGGTAGGCCACAGAAATAGTCTGAGAGACCGTATAGTCTGTAGTTGCAAGTGTGTCGGTTGTTGTAGTACTTATAAATCAAGTATATTTCCCTCAGCCTCATCAGCTTGATTAGTATGAATTTGAATCTGGAGTCATCCTGTTTTCTAAATGTTCACAAAGGTTGGTTTCTGTACCTGTAAACTTGAGAGCCAGATGCTCTGCCATGGTAAAAGTGCCAGGGTAATGAGTTGAGGCCTGCAAACCAGGTTTATTTTGAGGTATTAAAAGTTTGAGACCTAGTCAAGTCTTGTTCAAGGTAAACAGGCAGACCAATTCTGCTTCTTCTGACTGAGGTCTCAGGAATTGCAGCCAACTGTGGTTGAAATATGGAAGGGGTTGGTGCTCAATTCTCATGGATGTAAACGACTAGAGGCATAAATATCAATAATGGTTTCTTCCTTGGGATTCATTTTTTCTGATTTGGTTTAATAAATCATCATTGTACATTACCTCCATCATCCCCTATGCCTAAGCTCTAGAATGGAAAATAGCTTGAGATCAATGAAGTCAGATTCTTACTTTCCATTTAGTTATTTGTGTTGCTGTGAACAGCTTCTGCTCCGTACATCTGTCCTCAAGTTGCCTCAAATTTGTCACAGCTTTCTGGAGCTTTTCCTGAAGGAAAAATCTGATAAGTGAAGTCTATTCAATTTGACTCTTCATTAGGGACCTAGGGGGAATCCCAACCTTCTAAGATATATTTGAATAATAGCCAATACTTTTTGAGTTCTCATCGTTTTTTGCTAGAGAGCATGCTAAAGGCTCTATGTGCAGGAACACACTGATCCACTTGGCAACCCTCAACAATGGGTAGGATTTTAAACATCATTTCTGTGCTGTAGAAAATGAGGCTAAGAAAGGGGTAACATAACTTGCCCAAAGGGCTATAATTGGCAGGTGGTGGAGCTACAATTGCAACCTCATCTGTTTACCCAGAGCCTGAGCTATATCCACCACTGGAATCCTGCCAGGAAAAGGTTGTACACAGAACAAGGTAACCATCATCTAAAAGATTTTGTAAAATAACATGGTGGACCATGCATAACCAATACCAATGGCACAGATACAATTTTTTGTCTTACGAGTCAGGAGAAATCAGGATGCCAGCTGGTTATTAGAAACAGTTTATGGAAGACGGGAATTCTGGTATCTTTTGAAGAATGGTATCATGAAACCAATTTAAAATGATTCATGTCAAGCTTTTAGCTTATTCTTCAGAAAAGTTTCTCATATTGCTATTGAAAGTGATTTGAAGCTGACCCAAACTGCTAGTTGTAGTCAATGCTAAAAGAATTGTCTCCTGTCTGCTGTAAACCCAACAAGTATACTCATTAATCTCATTAATTCTCAAGCGTTCTCAGGAAAGGGTTCTATGTAACTGTTTTAGCAAAAGATGACATTGCTCTTTCTATATGCCAAGTGCTATTCTATGCGTTCTATGTTTTTTGTTTTGTTTTGTTTTTTGTTTTTGTTTTTGTTTTTTGAGACGGAGTTTCGCTCTTGTTACCCAGGCTGGAGTGCAATGGCGCGATCTCGGCTCACCTCAACCTCCGCCTCCTGGGTTCAGGCAATTCTCCTGCCTCAGCCTCCTGAGTAGCTGGGATTACAGGCACGCGCCACCATGCCCAGCTAATTTTTTGTATTTTTAGTAGAGACGGGGTTTCACCATGTTGACCAGGATGGTCTTGATCTCTTGACCTCGTGATCCACCCACCTCGGCCTCCCAAAGTGCTGGGATTACAGGCTTGAGCTACCCCGCCCAGCCGCATTCTATGTTTTAATATCCTTAAAGCTTTTAACAACTTCCTGGGTATGTGTTAGAAAGGGGAGACACTGCTGTTATCCCCATTTACAGATGGGGAAACCAAGGCATCAAGATATTAAATAACATGCCCAAAATTGGCCATCTAGTAAAGTAACCAAACTCAATTTCAACATAAGCAGGCTCCTTTTCTTACTACTTGTTGGGAAAGTAATTCAAATGGGAATATCATCATTGCAATTAGTAACTGCTCCATGGAGTTTAAGGAAGAGCTGCCATGAGCTGAGTGGTGGTAGGATTGACATGTCCTTAGGACTTAGAGCCTTCATACAAGACCACGTCTGCCTCATGGGACAGAATAAGAGGCCTGACACAATTTTCCTCAAATTTAGACAAGATAGAGAAGAAAAAAGGACATCAGGACTATGCCCATTCCTCCATGCTGGCAACAGCAAAGTCCCACCTTCCTTTATATGCTTTCTGACAGGAAACCTGGATGGCACATAAAATCCCTCTGCTTCACCTTCCACAACCAAGTATTTCCAAATATTTGAGTCTTCTTCTTGAATCTTGCTTAAAATGTGCCCTCTCCTCCCTTTCTTACAGGGATAGTTTAAATTTTACTCCTTGATATTCCTTTTATTATCGGCATGCTGGAGTAGCTGGTCACAGTGGTTCACACCTCTAATTCCAGCACTTTGGGAGGCCGAGGTGGGAGGGAGACCAGGGGTTCGAGACCAGCGTAAGCAACAAAGCCAGACCATGTCTCTACAAAAAATTTTTTTAAAAATCCGTATATGGTGGCATGTGCCCATCCTAGCTACTTGGGAGGCTGAGGTGTGAGGATTACTTGAGCCCAGGAGGCCAAGGCTGCAGTGAATCGAGATCGCACCACTGCACTCCACCCTGGGATATAGAGCAAGACCCTGTCTCAAAAACAAACAAACAAACAAACAAACAAAACCAGTAGAGGTACCAGAGTGATACTTTCAATGTCACTGACCCTTCATCCCGCAAATGAAAATCCTCCATTAGGTGTTCAATTTTTGTGTCCTTCAGGAGTCACTTCTGAAATGAACCACTCCTTACCCTCAAAGTCTCTCCCCACCACCAAAACAAGGGACCTCCAGGCAGACATTTTTGATCGTTTGTCTTCTTTACTAGACCGTGGATACCTAAAAGGTGACGCGTCTTTCTTCCCTGTTTTCAGGCCCTATCACATGGGTTTACATATTGCAGTTTTTCAAATTAGATGCTTGGTGTGAAGCAAGAAAAAAATGTGGATGTTTGGTTTGCAAACAACCTGTTCTAAAGCAGGGAGAAATTCAGCATAACACAAATGGATAGGAATAAGAGTCCAACCATCCCACTGAGGTCAGGATAGACAGTCCAGATAACAAGGAATCATCATAAACTCTTTTTCAGAAGAATGACAGGATGAAAGCTGTATTTCCAAGTCATAATGTTAGGGTTCAGGCTCAATCATCTCAGCTCCTAGGGAGCAGGACAGGACGGGGGTGCTTGCCAAGTCCCCTGCTCCACACACTCACCTGGTAGCCCTGGCATACCTCTTCAACAAGCGCTGTGGTGTGACCTTTGTGCCGCGGTGCCCGCTCACAGCGCCAGCAGATGAGCAGTCCTTCATCTTCGCAGAACAGATGGAGCTGTTCTCCGTGTTCCTCACATGACATCTCATGATCCATCTCTTTGAGAGCCTCAATAAGGCTTCCCAGCTGCTTGTTGGGTCTGACGCTATCCAAGTGAAACGGAGCCCGGCACTGGGGACACCAAAGCATCTTCTGCCTCAGTTGCTTTTGGCTTGGGTTTTTAAAGAAGTCCATTATACACAATTGGCAGTAGCTGTGTCCACAGTTGATGCTTACTGGGTTCGTCATCAGGCTCAGGCAGATGGAGCAGGTGGCTTCCTCCATCATCCTCTTGGTGCTGGTGGTTGAGGCCATAGCTTTTCTTAAAAAGCTCCAATATTGGCTCTGGAGATGGAGATGAAGCAGCCAGAATTTTCCAGTGATGAAAAGGCACCTCAGCTGCACCACTCCGTGATGATGAGCTGGCTGCTACTGACTTCCACAGGTCATGATGCTGTCGGCCTAAAAGGAAGAAGCCGAGGTTGAGTTTGGGCCAAGTTTGAGAACTGCAGCCCAGGTACAGAGCTTCAAGTTGCCCTCATTAGCAAGCGATTACAAGTAGTTGTTTAAAGGAAAAGAAGAAGCAGTTTTTGAGTTGTTTACCAAGAATTTACATTAAAATAACATAAGCTTTTAATTGGCTGTACATTGTTCTTTGTATTCTAGATCGCAGGAATATGCAGGTAATGGGCGAGGCAGCCAGTCAGGCTGAGACCTGTAACACAAAATGCTTTTAAACATGGGTCTTAACTGAAGATCCATCCTCCTCTCTCACTCACTGCTCCTGATAAAGTTTGATATTTCACATAGCTCAGACTGCTCTAAGCTGTTTTTCTTTTCTCAGAGTCTTCTAAATTTTTTTCTTTTTCTTTATGAGACAAGTTCTCACTCTCTTGCCCAGGCTGTAGTGGAGTACAGTGGTATGACCACAGCTCACTGCAACCTCGACCTCCTGGGTTCAAGCAATCCTCCTGCCTCATCCTGGCAGAGAATCTGGGACTACAGGTATGAGCCACCACACCCAGCTAAAGTCTTCTCTCCAGAAAGAAGAAATGCATTGGAATTTAGAGGATGCATAAACCGTGTAGCTAATACAGGAGCCACTGAGTGGGAATTTAACTTTAACTTAATAAAAATTAAATAAAAAGAACAAGTTCAGTTTTTCTGTTCCATTTGCCACATTTTGATTGCTTAATAGTTGCATGCGGCTAGTGACTACATAAAAGCCCAAAAATACAACATTCCGTTATCACAGAAATTTACCTTGGACCAAACACTGAAAGAAGCAATGCAGGCTTCCTCACAAAAGCTGCAAGAGAGAGAGCTCTGGGAGGGTGAAACTCTTTCCTATTCTTAGTAGCTTCAACAAAAATTGGTATCAGGTCTGCACGGCTCACACCTGTAACTGCAGTACTTTGGGAGATTGAGGCGGGTGGATCATCTGAGGTCAGGAGTTTGAGACAAGCCTGACCAACATGGCAAAACCTCATCTGTACTAAAAATACAAAATGTTAGCTGGGCATGGTGGTGCACATCTGTAATCCGAGCTACTCGGGAGGCTAAGGAAGGAGACCCGCTTGAGCTCTGGAGGGGAGGTTGCAGGAAGCCCAGATCATGCCACTGCACTCCAGCCTGGCTAAAAGAGCGAGAATCTGTCTCAAAAAAAAAAAAAAGAGTAATTGATAGCAGAATTACTCTTTGTAATTGGTAGAAACATTCAGGCAATTGGGTGATCTATGACAGATTCCACTGAAGGAGTATGGGAACTTCACCCCAATATATGGCTCCCAGGTATAATGAGTATTTTGAATTAAAGGCCCTTAGTGATCAGCAGATGCTGGAAGAGATTTTTTTTACCATCTTCATAAAGACCAGTCAGACTAGCCAAGGAGAACAACTGTTTTTCCTTCCAATCCCTCTTATCTCATTTTGTATTGAAGAAAAGAGGACTAAGAATGTAACCAGACCTAATCAGACACTTTCACAAAATAATGTCTGTCTCTCAGGTTTGCTCATTTTCCAGAGAGAACCATTTACAAGTTAAACTCTATGCCCTCATTCATTCATCCTTCCAAATATTCCTTTATTCTCCCTAGTCATCGTTTACTGCCCCTCAACAGAATTACCTATATTCTCCTGATATCACCCTTCCGCTCTGAAATAAGGCTATATAAGTATGTGAGCCCCACTGGAAGCGGAGTAATCACTCTGTGATTCTACCTCACGTACATGTTAATAAATTTGTGTGCCTTTTTTCCAATTAACCTGCCTTTTGTGAATTGACTTTTCATCGACCTTTCAAAAGGCAGAGGAAGTTTTCCCTTGGCTCTTATACCCATCACGACAATCAAATTTGACTCCACCTCAATCCCTCCCATCCCCCACAAAGAACAACAACCGACACTGGTTAATAAGGTGGGCTTTTTTGTTTTTTGTTTTTGGGTTTAGGAGCGGAGGTATAGTGGACAAAAGAAAGAGAAAGGACAACAGTGAATAGCTCTCTCTCCTGCAAACAGAAGGAGGCACCTAACGACTTCCCTGGCTAATAAGGTCTTGCTAGAGACCCCACGAGGAGGATAAAGGAAGCAATCAAGGCAACCAGAAAAACCGGGAGAACTAGTTCATCCTTTTCATTCCCTTTCCCTAACCTGAGGGAACGAGAATTACAAAGAGGGCTGTAAAGCAGAGGGTTTGGTCCTGAGGAACAGTTATTTCTTGGGAGCAGAGCTCCTGCAGAACTAGGAAGTTTACTATTAATATCTCTTCTCCAGGACAGGACCTATCTCAAGGGACAAGTTCAGAGTAATTGCAACATAAAGAGTTTGCAGACCCAAGGAGGTAGGGAAGGCAGAAAGAAGATGGGGGAGGCCAGGTGTTTCAGGTGCTGGACCCCCTAGGCAATGGAGGAGTGACCAGGAGAAAAGAAGTCTGCCCCTTCTGAGAACAGGCTCTCTCTGCACCCCCACCTCCACCCCACACACCCCTAGCCCTGGGAGCTCCTCTAGGACACGGCAGAGTGGGTAGGAAATTTGAAGAGGGGCTCTTCTTTGAAATGACAGTGCCTAGAATAAAAAACAGAAATTTAACTACAGGTACCCGGTAGGCTGTTTTCCTCTTGCAACCAGATCAGTCTCTCGGAGCCACACAGAATTTCTTCTGAAGGCGTGTATTCCTCTGCAGGCTACTTCCTCCAGTGACACACCAGGCCCCTCTCTGCCGGCGGCACTGTGCTCCTGGGGAGAAGGGGCTCCCCTCCTTCCAAGGCTCCAGGATTCCTGTCCTGGGCCCCACACACCTACCTTCTTCTTCTGAGTTTGATGTAAAGTCTGGTGAAAGAATGAGTGGGAAAGAGATGACAGCTATAAAACAAAGTCCAGATCATTTTCAGAGGTCGAGGGGCCCTGTGGTCAGGAAATATATCCTCCACCCCACCTGCCGCCAGCACACACTCACATGTCCACTGAGAAAACCTTAGTTTGGACCTTTTCCATAACCTACACTGCTCAGACACTTAGATATTTGCGGCTAGTCCCGTCCGTAGCTGCCACTTCCTGAGGCCTGGGTCAGGAAGTTAACTCAGACTGGATTAAACTGAGAAGTGAAACTACCATGGGAGGCGGGGCTCATAAGATTCAGGAGAAAACTAGCGACAGTGACGTTGCTCATATATTTTGCACTCAGCCTCTGCTGTAAAGGAGGGGAAAACGTAGGAAAGAATATCCTTCTTTTACAGCAGTAAAAAGAAGGAACCAATTAATAACTCAGTAAACTATCATGTGACCCAACAAAGTTATCTAAAAGCCGGAAGCCTGCAGAGAATCAGTTCACAGACTCTGATTTGAGATCTTTCTACCTTTTACCACCAACTCCCTTCGGAGTCCTTAAGCCTTCCTAGCTGATGTTATTTTTTTTTTTTTTTCCATTTCTAGGTTGCTTATGGTTTTATAACTGCTCTGAAGGGTGTGGTGGAAAAGGGGTGGTAACAGCAGTGAGGCTCATTTGCATCTGAGTCAGCCTTCTGTCTTCTCTGTCCCATTCTGTTTCTCCTTTTTTCTCCTTACAGTCATGCAGATCTCAGATCTTTTTCAATTGCCAGGGTCAGCCACCCAGGACAGAAAATGGGAGTCACTAATGCAGCAGTGAGTGCCCCTAGCTTAGAGCTGTATGGGATCCCTGAGACCATTGCTCTGCTTTGTGCTCTGTGAAGGAAAGATTGGGTCAAGTCCTTAATGATTCAGCTCCAACTTCTCCACTTCAAAATGAAAGTACTGTCAACCACTCAAGTTAGAATGATTACTTCATGGGGAAAAAAGATGCACTACTACCTCACAATAAGAGCTTATCACATGTATAAGTCTTAGTTGTAAGAGGTATTTATGATAAGAACATAATAAACGCTTGCTTAAGTAGATGGAGTGGTCCAAGGGAACCAGTAAGGAGAGCTCAGGACACAGGTGGGTGAGAAATTAAACCTGAATTCTGGGAGCCACTGGGCTAACTCTGGGCACCTGGCCTGTCTGATCAGGTGCTGACCCTAATAGCCAAGGGAATACGGAGTTTGACCCAGCTGCAGTCCCTCTGGTCCAACTACTCAAAATAAAGTCAAGATTGTGAAACAGGTTCCTTTCTTCGTACACCAAGCAGAAGACTCTTCAGCACTGCACCTTCCTGGATGCTCACAGAGCCTTCTGCCATTTTGCCGCCTATGATTCATCATGCTCTGGCATGATAGTAGCAGACCCCATGCACAGCATGGAACATTCTACTCCTGCGGCAACCAGCACACACAGAGAGGAGAAAGAATGAGCCCCTGAATCCTTGGCCCCACAGTCCTTGCAGATATCTATGACTTTCATTGTTGTGGACATGAGTCTATCCAGACATGCTCATTCCAGATCTGTCCTGTTGTCAGAGGTGTTTGAACCAGAATGACTCCATTTTGAATGGGGGCTGAATAAATAAGGCTGAGACCTACTGGGCTGCATTCCCAGGAGGTTACACATTGTAAGTCACAGGATGAGAAGGGTCATTGGCAAAAGATACAGGTCATAAAGACCTTGCTGATAAAACAGGTTGCAGTAAAGAAGCCCGCCCAAACCCACCAAAACCAAGATGGCAACAAGAGTGACCTCTGGTCATCCTCCCTGCTCCTTATACACTAATGTGTTAGCATGATAGAAGGCACTACCACCGGCTCTATGACAATTTATAAATACTATGGAAATGTCAGGCAGTTACCCTATATGATCTTAAAAAAGGAGGAACCTTCGGTTCTGGGAATTGTCCACATCTTTCCTGGAAAAGACATGAATAATCCACTCCTTGTTTAGTATATAATAAAAGACTGTAAGTATCTGTATTACCCCATTTTCACACTGCTAATCAAGTGTGACTGAGTAATGTATACAGGAAAAAGTGTTTCATGGTCTTACAGTTCCATGTGGCTGGGGAGACCTCACAATCATGGCAGAAGCCAAGGAGGAGCACGTGATGTCTTATATGGATGGCAGCAGTCAATGAAAGAGCTTGTGCAGGGACTCCTTCCTATAAAACCATCGGGTCTCATAAGACTTACTGACTATCATGAAAACAGCCTGGTAATGATCTGCCCCCATGATTCAATTACCTCCCACTGGGTCCCTCCCACAACACATGGGAATTCAAGATGAGATTTGGGTGGGGACACAGCCAAACCATATCAGTATCCTTAGCACAGCAGCTCAAGCTGCTTCGCTGCCCATGGGGTAGTCTTTCTTTTATTCCTTTACTTTCCTAATAAACCTGCTTTCACTTTACTGTATAGACTTACCCCAAATTCTTTCTTACATGAGATCTAAGAACCCTCTCTTGGGGTCTGGGTTGGGACCTCCTATCTGATAACACTATCAAAGGATCAGGAAAAGGAAGCTAGTGAGTACTAAAATGGAAACAAACTACCATTACCAATAATAACAGCAAGACAAAAGCAAAACAGATTGTGACAGCTGTCCCACTTCACACCTGTTTCCCATTGCAGGAAGGAGGAACTTGTTCATGCAGAGAGTGGCAAATACTAGAAGCAGAGGGCAGGGATGCAGATGAGCTTTCAGGAATGTTGCCAAAGGCAGGCCTAGTGAGAAATCAACATAAACTACCCCCCACTGGAGGAATGCATTATCTCCAATATGTAAAGCTAGGCTTGATCCTGCGATTATGGGATGGAAACAGGAATCCAAAGACACACAATGGGAAGTAGGTCACTAGAGTCTCCTTAAGAAGCTCTGGACTGTGTGTTCCCACTGTGGGGAAGAATCAGCACCCAGACATTCCTAGAGTGCCTTTCCTCAACTCTTTCAGATTTCACCTCAACCAACCCTAAACTGACCACTTGTTAGCAAGTGTACCCCTTGCTCCCTCCCAAACCTTCTCAAATCTATTTTGTTCCCACAGTACTTATCACTGAATATTTTACTTATTTATTTTGTTTATAATTTGCTTCCCCCATGAGAATAGAAGCTATGTAAGGGATGGATTTTTTTCAATATTGTTCACTGAGTCTAGAATAGTTCTAAGCATAGTGATGTGCATTGAATGAAAGAGTAACTTTCTGAATTGCACTAAACACACATCATAGGAGGTGTGTGCACACATGTGCATGATGCATGTAGCGTGGCGTAGGTGATGTGTGTGGTATATGGTACTGTGTGTGCTGTGTGGTATGCGATGCATAGTTTGTGTTGTTGTGATGCATGTTACGTGGTGTGTGAGTGTCCATGTGTGTTGGGGTGGCAGGCATGTTAACATGTCAAATAGTACTAGAAAGTATCAGAACCCATGGTGCTTACTGGTTTCCCAGAGAACTGCTTCTCTCCCTCCTGTAGGATACACTGATGGTTTGGATGGAAAGGGAATAAAAATAAGGCTGAGACCTCCTGGACTGAGGAAATAAAAATGGAAGTAAAAGAAGAGCTGGGAAAAGAGAGTAGAGAGGTCAAGGGAAACTTCCCTTTTGGCTTTTGAAACTTGGCTGAAAAATCAAGTCACAATTTATTAACATGTACATAGGGAGAACCATAGCATGATTATCCACCTCCCAACAGGGTTTAGATGCTTATATATCATACTGGCCAAATGGATTATGGGAGGCGAAGAAGAGAAATTCTGTTAATGGGATTACTGCTGTGGATTTCTGCTTCTTCGTTCAGCTAGATCTGGGTTCTTGTCTCATGACCAGGAAGAACTAGGCACATGGACATCAAAGAGTGAGTGGAGTAGTATTTATTAAGTGAAAGGAAAGCTTTCAGCAAAGAGAGGGGTCCTAAAAACAGGTTTCTGGTTTGCCCTTCATAGTTGAATACCACGGCTTACAAGCCAAATTCCTGGCAGCTCCGCCCTGTCCTCCTAGTGCATGCAGGCCATTAGACTGAGCTGCTCCATATTGATTTATTTCCCAAACTGCACATGTGTTAAGTAAAGGAATCTTCCACTGTGGGCATGTTTAGGCAAGCCCCTTGTGCAAGTTCCCTTATCTGCACAAAATATCTGGTGTAAACATTTTGGGGCAGGTTGAAGGTTCTTTGGGGACCATTCCCTTACTATCTTCCTAAAGCAAGCTGGCCAACTCCTTTCATTACTAGGGAGAGTAAGTAGATCAGGGAACAGAGATTAACTTGAACATTATCTTGTAAAAGTCTGTTCAGGTGTGGTTACATTCTTGGTCTTATGGGGATGGGAAATAAAAATAATTGTCCTTTTTGGTGGGTCTGGATCTTAGGCAGATAAAAGAACTTTAATTCTATGATGTGCTTTGGGAGAGACGGTTAGTGGCAAGAATATCAGAGAGACTTTGAAGTTTCCTCAGTTTTAATATGACCAAGTGCCGTATTTTAGGGTGTCAATTTCTGAGCTCCAACAAGAGCTTAGAATAAATTTTATAGCATCACAGTATGAAAGCAACTTTTTGTTTGTTTTGAAAGACAGGTTCTTGCACTGTCACCCTGGCTGGAGTATAATGGTAGGATCACAGCTCACAGTAAACTTGAACTGGCCTCAAATCATCCTCCCATCACAGCATTTCAAAGTGTTGGGATTACAGGCAAGAGCCACTGCACCACCCTGAAATTGCACCCACCTGCCGATAAACTTTTCAAATGACTAAAGGGGAGAGAGTAACCACTACTTAGAGGTAGGAAGAAAGGACACAGGATTACAGGATTAAAACAACCACCACCACCACCACCACCACCACCATCACCACCACCACCACCACCACCACCACCACCACCACCACCACCAAACAAAAAACAAAACCAGGCCCAGTGTGGTGGCTCACACCTGTAATGACAGCACTTGGGGAGGCTGAGGCAAGGGGAATCACCAGAGGCCAGGAGTTAGAGACCAGCCTGGCCAACATAGCAAGACCCTGTTTCTATTTTAAAAAAAGAAAGAACGAAAGAACGAAAGAAAGAAAACTTTTTTTAGAGATAAAAAATAAAAACAAAACACCTGGGAGGAGACTGCCTTGAGCTAATCAGAATGATGGGCATGACAAAGGACATCCCAAAGTAAGTCTTAGCATATTTTTTTTTTTTTTGAGATAGTCTCTCTCTGTCACCCAGGCTGGGGTGCAGTGGCACCATCTCAGCTCAT